AAACAGTTGATCGTCAAGGTCAGTTAAATACAATCAATTCAATCATTGTGTCCTTAGGCAAGACACTTCACCCACATTGCCTAGTATGAAAGTGGTGTGTGTGTGAGTGATGGTGGTGGTCGGAGGGAACGATGGCGCCCAGTGGCATGGCAGCCGCGTTTCAGTCAGTGTGCCCCAGGGCAGCTGTGGCTACAATAGTAGTTTACCATCACCAAGTCTAGAGTGAATGAATAATGCTGAATAATGCTCTGTAAAGTGTCTTTGGGGACAAAAAAATGTCTGTGAAAAGCGCTAAATAAATACTGACTTACTTACTTATATACATACATACACGCCTACATAGATACACACACACACAAACACACACATACACACACACGCATACACATACACACCTACATACATACATACACACCCACGTACATACACACGTACATAGATACACACACACAAACACACACACACAACACATACACACATACACACCCACATACATACACACACATACATACATACATACACACATACACACACACACATACACACATACATACATACACATACATACACACCTACATACATACATACACACCACACACATACATACACACGTACACATACATACACACGTACACTACATACACACACACCTACACACATACATACACACCTACACACATACAGATACATACATACATGCACACCTACATACACACGTACATACACACACATACATACATACATACATACATACATACATACACCTACCTACATGCATACATACACCCCTACATACATACATACATACACACCTACACACACATACATACATACATACACATACATACATAGCACACACATACATACACACATACATACCACATACATGCACACATACATACACACGAACATACATACATACATACACACGTACGTACAAACATACACACATACACACCTACATAGATACATACATTCACACATACACAGACACACACGCAAAACATATTGCATCATGGCGTGTGTGTCTGTGTGTGTGCGTGCATACGTGTGTGTGCATGCGTGTGTGTGCGTGCATACGTGTGTGTGCGTGCATGCGTGCGTGTGTGTGTGTGAGATAGTGCCAACCACCTTGGACTAATGCAGCTCTGACTTCTTCAGATAAAACATGAAGAATCAAAACAGTGTTTCTCTCTCCCAACTGTGTAAATAAATAAATAATAAACGGACAAGGGCGTGTCTCAGATCCTCTTTCATCTGCTGACACTTCCTGTACACTGTGTAGTACGCGCAGTAGTAGTTGTAGTATTAGTACCAGTAGTTGTTGTTGAAGTAATACTAGTAGTAGTAATAATAGTAGTAGTTGTAGTACTAGTAGCAGTAGTTATTGTAATAGTAGTTGCAGTAGTAGTAGTAGTAGTAGTAGTAGTAGTAGTAGTAGTAGTTGTAGTACTACTAGCAGTAGTTGTTGTAATAGTCGTAGTAGTATTAGTAGTAGCAGTAGTATTAGGAGCAGTAAAAGTTGTAGTAACAGAAGTAGTAAAAGTTATAGTAATAGTAATAGTAGTTGTAGTAATAGTATTAAAAGTTGTAATAATAGCAATAGTAACAGTTGTAGTAATAGTAATTGTAGTACTAAAAGTTGTTATAATAGTAGTAGTAAATGTTGTAGTAATAGTAGTTGTACTAATAATAGTAGTACAAGTTTTAATAACAGTAATAGTTAAAAGTTGTAGTACTGTAATAGTAAAAGTTGTAGTACTGTAATAGTAAAAGTTGTAGTACTGTAATAGTAAAAGTTGTACTGTAGTAGTAGTAGTAGTAGTAGTAGTAGTAGTACCTATAGGATTGTCACTTTTTCCAGTTCCTTCACCCGTTCACTGTTACATCAGTGTGTGACGCAGTGTCTTGCCCAATGACACCACAGCAGCACAAACTGGTGTTACAAAAATTGAAAACGCAACTTCGATTCTGAGTAACAGACGACGACGCAAAACACCGAATCTGACGCAACGATAAAAATAAAAACAGAATGTGATTTTTAACATTAAATAATAGGACTTTTTTTTATATCGAAACCTGCGAAAAACAAAGATCTATTTTCGATTTTCATACTGAGCATATTTATCGTAGTTTGTAGTTTGGAGGCCGACTGCGCTCTGGTATTTCACAGAGTTTCAAATCTGCGGTTGAACTTTTAGCTATAGAATTCCTTGTCACGTCGCCAAGTTCAGTTTCACATCTGGCTCGAGGCTACAGTTTTATCACCGTTGCTACTATTTTGGATATTACGTCGATTCATGACCCACAAACCGCACAAAAGGTCTCCCAAAGTTGACGCGATGAAATTAAACGAGTCTGACAGCGGCAAAATGGTTTTAAAGGCTCAAATTACTCCATTTTCTGATTTATGTTAATAATAATGTTGTTTCCCTAAACCTAAATACTGTCATTTTTGTGATTTTTTTAAAAGACATTAGAATCATTACAACATTACCACGGGTCAGGTGCAAATTTACTCCAATAAAACAATATGATCAGGTAAAAATTACATCAAAAACACAAAGAATTTTTAAACTAATCCAGAATAATTATTAAACGTCAAAAAGTGTAAAGAGACAAAGCAAGAACTGAATCGCAGGTGTGTTCAGTCTGACGCAGAAACAAATGAACGGGATAATAAATGAAAAATATGAACTGACTAAAGGACTAAACCAGGACTAAAACATGTCTAAACTAAGTTTAAACTATTACTAAACTAGGACTGAACCAGGGACAAAATCAGAGACTAAACTAGGGTTTAGTCAGGGCTAAACCAGGGATTAAACCAGGTCTAAACTAGGACTAATCCAGGGACTAAACCAAGGACAAAACCAAGGACAAAACCAGGGAGTAAACTAAGTCTAAACCAGGACTATACCAGATCTAAACCAGGTCTAAACCAGGACTAAACCAGGGACTAAACCAGGGATTAAATCAGGTCTAAACTAGGACTAAACTAGGACTAATCCAGGGACTCAGACAGGGACTAAACTAAGTCTAAACCAGGACTATAACCAGGACTAAACCAGCTCTAAACCGGGTATAAACCAGGGACTAAACCAGGGTCTAAACCAGGACTAAACTAGGACTAAACCAGGTCTGACCCAGGGACTAAACAAGGACTAAACCAGGTCCAAACCAGGTCTAAACTATTACTAAACTAGGACTAATCCAGGGACTAAACAAGGGACAAAACTAAGTCTAAACCAGGACTATACCAGATCTAAACCAGGACTAAACCAGGACCAAACTAGGTCTAAACTAGGACTGAACCAGGACTAAACTAGGTCTAAACCAGGAATTAAACCAGGTCTAAACCCGGGAGCAAACCAGGAACTAAAGGATAAACCAGGTCCAGACCAGGTCTAAACTAGGACTAAACTAGGACTGAACAAGGACTGAACAAGGACTAAACCAGGAACTAAACCAGATCTAAACCAGGACTAAACCAGGTCTATATCAGGGCTAAACCAGGACTAAACAAGGGACTAAACCTGGTCTGACCCAGGCACTAAACAAGGACTAAACCAGGTCCAAACCAGGTCTAAACTATTATTAAACTCGGACTAATTCAGGGACTAAACCAGGGACAAAACCAAGGACAAAATCGGGGAGTAAACCGGGTGTAAACCAGGATTATACCAGGACTATACCCGATCTAAACCAGGGACTAAACCAGGGTCTAAACCAGGGCTAAACTAGGACTAAACCAGGGAGTAAACCTAGTCTGACCCAGGGACAAAACAAGGACTAAACCAGGTCCAAACCAGGTCTAAACTATTGCTAAACTAGGACTAATCCAGGGACTAAACCAGGGACAAAACCAAGGACAAAACCGGGTCTAAACCAGGCACTAAACTAAGTCTAAACCAGGACTATACCAGAACTAAACCAGGACTAAACCAGGACCAAACTAGGACTGAACCAGGACTAAAGTAGGTCTAAACCAGGAATTAAACCAGGTCTAAACCAGGGATTAAAGGATAAACCAGGTCCAGACCAGGTCTAAACTAGGACTGAACAAGGACTGAACAAGGACGAAACCAGGAACTAAACCAGATCTAAACCAGGACTAAACCAGGGACTAAACCAGATCTAACAGATGTTAAATTGTACAATATATTATTCTAGAAAAATTACTTAAACCAGGTCCAGACCAGGTTTAACTAGGACTGAACAAGGACTAAACCAGGAACTAAATTAGTTACTCAACCAGTTACTAAACCAGTTACTAAACCAGGTCTCACAGGTGTCACATTACACAATAGAGTATTCTAAAAAAAAAAAAAAAAAAAAAAAAAAAAAAAAAAACGGACAAAAAATGAAATTAGGTGAAAAAACCCAAAGTATTTTTAATTTAATCCAGAAAAATGATCTAAGGTCAAACGTGCAGCCGCAGCGGGGACTGACTGTACTGTACACACCTGCGAGTCTGACGCAAAAACAAAATATCGGTGTAATAAATGACAAATATGAGTTGATTCCCGGTGTGTTTTTAATGTAAATAAATGTTTGGCTGTGTGATGACACGTGTGGAACATTTGGTAACCTCAGGTGCTTCCTTAGCCGACAAACCGCTGCATTTTCTATATTACGTGACCCCACATTTTGTAACATTTTTAGCCGTTTAACTCGCTTTAAAACCAACCTTTCACTTGTACTTTCACCATGTCGGTCCGCAGACGCATACGAGCCCGTGTACACTTCACATGAGCGGGATTTAATCACGATTTAAACTCTTAAAATTAAAATTATTAGCGGCTGTAAACGCGTTTCCCCAAACACCACATGTAACGGCGAGAGGAGCGGCCACTTTCTTAAATTAGGGGCGTCCGCGTTACACAAATCAACGCGTTGTCGAATATTATTACAAAACACGCGCTATGTTTGTTTTATTACGATTTAAATTGAAATTTAAGTGTATTTTTCGAGTTGTTTTAGTTAGTTTGGTGGCTTACCGTTGAGTTCGGAAGAGTTATCAAACAGCGGATCCCCCCAAGGAAGACGGAGTGGTGCGGTCCGGGCTAGCCGCTGGAGCTGCAGTGCAAAGCGGACTGTTCCATTGAGCCGCGCTGGGGTGAATAAAACCAGGGCATCCGAGGGCATCTGAAGGCATCTGAAGGCATCCCCGCCGACCGCGCGTTATCAAACACCTTACAAAAGCATGATCCAAGGATTCATGGGAATTGGAGTATTTTAAGTTCAGCGAGAAATCCGAATTATCTCAAAAATCATGCAAAAAAACTCGAGAATTGCTAGTAGAGCCTGTAAATAAGAACCCAAACTATGAATGATGCAACTTACGATAATTATTTGTCCAAAATGAGTGCATGTGTCAATGCATGTGCACAGTAGGAGTCTGTGTACCATTCGTTCTTTTGGATTTCAGTTAAGAACGAAACACAATAACATGGGAAAATAGTTTGTTATTAAATTTTTCTGTTTTAGTGTCAAACAGTAAAACAGATTTCGACGTCTATTTCCGATATTTAATTTTAAGTTTCGTAATAACACCAATCAAAAAGTTATCAGTCATCGTGTCTGTTTCAGTTTTGATATTTTATTCTCTCTGGTTTATTCGCAACGGAAGTTCTGATGTTTAGTGCCGCGTGTGAATTTAGAGTCAACTTGAACAATATTTATGGCCATGCTGCTTCCTGTTTCTTGTCATGGAGTTCAACAATGACTTGATAAGATGCAAAAGTAAACGCGCCGCTATAAAAGAAGACGACATGTTTGGCTCTTTCCAACTCTGCACTGGTAACTAATCCTTCATGTCTTTTCACCAAATCTTCAAATACTAATCTCTGAGTTCATTTTAATTCCATTTTACTTCAGCGTGGTGGAAATTTCTCCAAACAACTCTTTGATGTAAACTTAACCAAAAGTTTAACCAGGCTGGCGCCACCTAATGCCTCTGCTCAATTTCATTTCTCTTCAGAGACTAGGCCAGGAATCAAAATACACTAGACGGTTCACAAAAAACCCCGGAAGTGCGAGTTCAGGCACCAGCCAATCAGAGAAGAGACAGACATTCTGTGTTGTCAGCGATTCCCGAGATCGAGGATTTAAAGCCGGAACAAAGAGAATATTTGGTGAATTTTATTAAGGGGACCAAACTAGGTCTAAACTAGGACTGAATCAGGACTAAACTAGGTCTAAACCAGGAATTAAACCAGGTCTAAACCAGGGATTAAAGGATAAACCAGGTCCAGACCAGGTCTAAACTAGGACTAAACAAGGACTGAACAAGGACGAAACCAGGAACTAAACCAGATCTAAACCAGGACTAAACCAGGGACTAAACCAGATCTAACAGATGTTAAATTGTACAATATATTATTCTAGAAAAATTACTTAAACCAGGTCCAGACCAGGTCTAAACTAGGACTAGGACATACATTCTGTGTTGTCAGCGATTCCCGAGATCGAGGATTTAAAGCCGGAACAAAGAGAATATTTGGTGAATTTTATTAAGGGGACCAAACTAGGTCTAAACTAGGACTGAATCAGGACTAAACTAGGTCTAAACCAGGAATTAAACCAGGTCTAAACCAGACGTTATTGTCCTTCTTCCCACGTTATTTGAGAAAAGTTTAATATACCAGTTACCCCCATTAGCGGCGCATTACATACGTCATGACCAAATAACAGCGACTGGTTAAATCAGGCATGTCCAAACTATGGCCCGTGGGCCAAATGCGGCCCTCAGACAAACTTTTCTTGGCCCTCAGGCTTCCAGGTGAATTTGCCCAAATTACCTTGCATCAATTAAAAATGAACATTTTACTGCATGTTTTTTGAAAATCTACCTTGATAAAGTTAATATTTAATATTGAGTGTGTGGTTTTAAGGATCTTAGCGTGAATAAAGTCTGATGGTTCATTCTAACGTGTTAAACATGCACATATTTACATTTTTCACTGTACTGAGCACCAGTCTACAGCCCTCGATCGGCCCTCTGCTTTGTGTTTAGATATGTGGCCCTTGATGAAAAAAGTTTGGACACCCCTGGGTTAAATGATAAAAAGTACCCACCTACTGTCGAGCGAACGAAATCTAACGGTGCAAGGTGGTAAAACGGGACACACAGATGTTATTAAATACAACTAATTAACAATCACATGACTATAAGAAAAATAGAACGAACAAAACAAAAAAGTTTGGCCATTTACAATTTCACTTATGACTTACTGTGTATATAAGAGACAAAAAAAGGAGTATAAAGTGTTATGTTTTGAAAGATATAGAGCTCTGGAATGAATTATGCTGTAAATTTTGTTTTTTTTAATTTATATTTTAAGACTTCTACAGTATTAGACTTTTTAAAATCTCTCAGGTTATTTCAGATACTAACCCCTCGAACAAAAATACTCTCATGTCCTGATTTTGCCCTGTCAGTCGGAGTGCCTCGGGTTTGTACCTTGCCCACTTTTACATTTTTCAGTAAGTATTAAGTCACTTTTTATTAAGATTATAAATTTAACCGTCATAAAACACCTGTACTGCTATTTATAACTTTTTTATGACCCCGTGAAGCGCTCCGCCTCTTTTCTCGGATCTCTCGGTTCACCCTCTTCTCGATAATGAGTTTAACGACGTACAAAGCAGTAACATTTCCAGTCAAAGAAAATGTTACATGGTGCAGCTTTACTATAAACTACCACATGTCCACGTATCTGAGCCACAGACTGGATAAAGAAGTGAACCGAAGGAATGCGACAGCGGCAGTCAAGTGAAGCTCATCGAGGCTGCCGGGTATATGCGAGTTTCAGCTGACGTCATTGTTATTAAAAGCATCCTGGGAAATATTTTGGTCGGAGGCAAGAAACACGGTAGCGTCAAACACAGTGCGTAACCTCGCGTATTTATCCCCGATAATGGTAAATTCCTGCTGCATTATCGGATGCACAAATAGAAGCACGGAAGAAGGAAAATGTCTTTTTCGTATTCTGAGTGAAAAGAACCGCTAACGGTGAATTAAACGACTTTCAAACATTCCCAGAGCAAACGTAGAAGATCCTAACAAACCGTGGACTCCAACAAGTTCAACAACACATCCAGACTCTTGGAGGTTTTCATCTTTTCTGCTGTGAATGGCCCAGGAGTTTCCACCAAGTCATTGTGGATGTCGCCCAAGTGAATATTTGTCCAGGTAGTTGGAGATTCTGACCAGAAATTTGGTTTGGTTCCACCTTTTGTCGGGGTTGAAAAGGGTGATTTGTCGTCCGTCGATGCTTATGACCAATTTCTGGTCAAATGGTCTTGGGTCCTCTGCCATTAGAGTGGATAAATAACCGGGATCAATACCCTTTACGTGCTTTCTCGCTCCGTCCGTCATGTTGAATTAGTGTTATATGTTATTAGGTTCTTTATTTCAGACCTTGAGTGTTATTTCATACCTGACAGTTTGTTCTGCTCACTAGCGTCTTCCTCAGAGTCACGTGATGTTGCTGTGTCGTGTCCGATCAGCTGATTTAAACAGGTTTTGGCGCCGTCTTCCTACCGGTGGAGGCAGGACGACAGCGCCACCTACAGTCCGACTTCCTCAGGACAGCATCCCAGGTGTGTGAGAGTAAAAAAGCCCCTCGTCCCGGTTTACAGTCCTGTGTTCACGATTTCCGTATTTCGATTGCTTCTTTAATCCAGCGGCGACGTTTGTTTTCCTCTGTCCCGATGACGTTCGCTCCGTCCCCGTCCATAACGTGGTTTTTCTCTTTTACAATGGTCAGAAAATTTTGAGTTGTTCCTGTTCTGCTTTGTGTTTTGTTGCCTTCGCTGTTTTCTTCTCGCATTCTGTTCCATGTTCCTTTTTTCGTGTGTAGGAAGACGGCGCCAAAACTTGTTTAAATCAGCTGACCAGACACGTCAGGCCACGATACGATACATACCTCAATACACAGGCCACGATACGATACATACCTCGATACACAGGCCACGATACGATACATACCTCGATACACAGGCCACGATACGATACATACCTCGATACACAGGCCACGATACGATACATACCTCGATACACAGGCCACGATACGATACATACCACGATACGATACATACCTCGATACACAGGCCACGATACGATACATACCTCGATACACAGGCCACGATACGATACATACCTCGATACACAGGCCACGATACGATACATACCTCCAAACACAGGCCACGATACGATACATACCGATACACAGCCACGATACGATACATACGATACAGGCCACGATACGATACATACCTCCAACACAGGCCACGATACGATACATATCTCGATACACAGGCCACGATACGATACATACCTCAAACACAGGCCACGATACGATACATACCTCGATACACAGGCCACGATACGATACATACCTCGATACACAGGCCACGATACGATACATACCTCGATACACAGGCCACGATACGATACATACCTCGATACACTGCACTTTTGATTTGATATGATATATTTCAAATCGATTCGATACGGTTCAATAAAAAATAAAGACTAAATCGTGTCTGTGATACTAAAGTCTGTGTTAAACCACTTCTTCTTGTGCAAAGTTCATATGAAACATAAACATTTTAATCATCAAAACAGTGAAAATATCAAATGTGTCGCATAAATGAGTTTCCTTTCACTCCACACAAAACTGTAGCTGTAACAAAATAATTTAGTAAAACACATGTAAAAATACTCTTGGTGATATATTGATACAGTAGCCCACGATATCGATACTGTATCGTCACATTAAACGATACGATATATCGATATTCCGATATTTTTGCACACCCCTACTAATAACAGAGAACATTGGAAGACCGAAGGAATCTCATTGGACTATTGAATTAGTGTTTCTCGCCAGCGACCGAAATAATTCCCAGGATGCGACGCGCGCTTCTGTCAACAATGAAACTCGCCTATAGGAGCGAATTTCGAGCCGGGTTCCATATTTGGAATTCTGATTACAAGTATCATAGCAACCAAAGAGCCAATCAGGAGCGAGGCTGTTAAACGGAAGCTCCGTAAAGGCGTAAAGTAAGCGAGGAACAACTTTGGAATGAACCAGTTCTGTTTTTCACGTTTTAAAACAGTAGAAGGAAAAGATAAGATACTTTAGGTGATTTTTGTTTGTATGAGTGTAAATCTCTTACCTTCCCGTGCGTCCGTTTTAGCACAAATGTACAGAGCCGGGTTCCTTAAAGTGGAGCTCCGGCTAAAGCTTAAATAAGTCGGCGCATGAGTCACATACCACGGCTCTAAGTCTGATTAGAGCCATGCCCGCCTCAGATTGGTCGGCCCGCGGTTCAAACCTCTTAGAAAACAAAAGCCACAGATAAAACTTTATGGCTTTATA